AGGAAAGGGTAGGAAATTGGAGTAAAAACGTGTATACCGTTGAGAGAATTGAAAAGAAATTAGGTCAAAATCATTATTATGTGGAGGGTATAGACAGACCTTATTTAAGATTTGAATTATTAAAAGTTTAATATTCTTTATAATTAACTTCTTAAGAAAAGTATTTAAAGAAAAAATATCTATGTATATTATCATAGAGATGTTCACCGAAGAAGAGCAGGAATAAATCATTAATGAATTCATAAATGTAATTACAATGAAAACAGTTTTAAATGAAAAAGCGAGCATGTGTCGTAAATGTAAATTTACAAAAGAAATCTCAATTTGCATAACTTGCCAATACCCGAAAGTGCAATAAAAACAATATGCAAATTCAAACACGAAGAACGTGAAAAATGTGCTATGCTAAAGGAATTAAGAAGTTGCGTTTACGGTTGTAGCATGAAGAAGTTTGAGAATACCATTGAAGCAATTGAAGAAAAAACATATGTATCAAATACAAGAATATGGAGAAAGTGCAAAAGAACACAGAAATATGCAAATTTTTTATTATGTGAATTTAAACCAATTTGACAAGAAAGTTGTAAGTCATATACTAAATGGAGAGAATTGATCATGGAGATACCAGCAATTACAGCCAGAAACTCCATAAAAAATAAGAAGTGTTATAGTTCATTCCGGAATGGTAGCGATGGTACAGAAATATATTATGCAAAACTGCGAAATACAGCAATAACAGAATACGACAAAACATTCAAGAAGCGATTATATACATTCCTGTATTGAACCAATGTCCAATATCATAAAGATTTGTGACTACATTGACAACAGCCAAGAACATAACAGTATTGAACAGAAAAGGTATTCAAACAATGCATCATCAGTAGTAAAACTATTAATGTTGAGTACAACAACGGATATTCATGGGAAACGTTTCTGGACGCGCGATTTCAGAATTTACGAACAGAAAGGTGGTTGAAGAAAAACAAAACCATTCCAGCGTTGGCCGGTGATTACCTGGACACTAACCGTCTTCGATAATTAACAAAGCCCTAAACCCTAGACCCGAAAAACCTAAATACGACATGACAAAGCCCCGGACAATCCCTTGTCAGATGCGTGCTTTCGTTGCTTTGTGTGCTTAGGTGCTTTCTGTATATTGCCTCTGTGTATGATCATATACTATCTAATTGTTTCATGGATTTACGTAAACAGAAAATTGCCTTGTTTGTTGCAAGGGTTTAGGGTGCCTCAAACGAGGACCGAACCCAGGAACCACCCAAAAGGCTGGTAGAGGTAGACGAGGATCAATAGTGCTCGCTTCCTCGCGCAAGGCCAGTGAAGGGAGTGGGTAAAGGGTGCAGTTTGGACAGTTCCGCTTGTGTGTCGCAGACTTTTTGCTCCGGTCAACCAGCTGCACATGTGAACCGGATGTCCACAGACAGCATGCTACCGGTGTACATCTGCCAGTTCGTCTGAGCAGTGTCTTTCTTGGTTGCAAGGTATAATAAAACCGAGCAGAAGTGAGAATGTACTCATGTGTATCTTGGAGGTGCTGGTATACCGGTTCAAGCAAACAACTACACCCCTGCGACACAGATTAGAAATACACCTTCTGAGCGTGCACATTGTTGTCAGAAACCGCATATGCCTCCAGGAAAGAAACGAAGAAGTCAGGCACATCACAATGTGTGCGATAACGGTGCCACTGCTCGTGGAGGGCTTTTGCCTTCTCAGCAGTAACTGCACCATGATTCTGCAGCTTCATGATTCCATCTTTAACCTTAACCGCCTTGGGTAAGCTTTTGTACAGCTCTCCTCCAATCATCACGCCCTCAACTTTCCCGCCGTTGCGAATCTGTTTTGCAAGCTGTGACACTGCCTCCTGGGCTTCAGCTTTTGACAGGTTTAGTTTCGCTTGAATCTTCCTTGACCGTTTTGTTGAATCTTGCGCATTCGCGAACTTGTCACAATCCACGAATGAGATGCCGGTGGCCAAAACTGCCAAGCCTGCAGACCAGTAGTCCTCGTCGTGGATGTTTACTACAACCTCGAATGAATTCTGGAACAGGCCCAATCCATGCTCGAGCGCCTCCTCACCGGCACCGTCTGCACAGCAACATAGCAATGTCAACATGCCACGCAAACTGCGCTTTGGACACCCTTGCATGACTCCCATGCCTCCTTCGTACAAAGAAGTCACCCCACCAAACAAAAGCCCGAAAGGTGGACACACAAGCCCGGCCAACATGGTGGATCCATTCAAAACCATTTTGAGGCTTTCATCATTTTTTTGTCACGAGGATGGACCAGAAGTATGCTTTTCTCGCAATACGAGCAATGTCGGCGCTCGCCACAATAGCTCAGCTGCCCCGGGCATCCCTCCTGGATATTTTTTTGGCTGCAATCTTTCCACGGACACTGGAAAATTAAGCCCTTCTCGATTGCCACAATAGGATCAGGAAGAGGCTCTTGAAGAGGCTCCGGAAGAGGCTTTTTAAGCATGATGAGAACCCACAATGAGAACAAAGCTGCACTTCCCAAACGAAGCCGAAGAGCATGCTTGCCGAAGCTAAGGCAGCTAAGGCCATCATCCAGCAGGACATTGTTCTGCACGTTGCTCTGATGTCGAACCAACCTCTCCCGCAAGCTGCACGGGTGCTGAATTTGCAGCCTTGCTGGCTGCAAGGAAGGGATGGCGCGAATCCATGTACTTCGAAAAGGCCGGAGCATGGCAACCAGGGCGAGGTCAACGCCTCAACGCTATTGGTTACAGACTTGAACCGCATCCTGCGGGTGGGAAGCCGAGGTCCAAGGAGTCTCCTTGACAACATGACCCGCCCCGCGGAGAGCTTGTTGGTGGAGGTATGAAGCTGACTCAAACCGACTCATGGACGAGGCATGACTACACTGACGACACCCGCCTAAACAGCTAAAATAAGCTGGGCAGAAGAGTCCTGCGAAGTGGCTGCTGGTCTGGTCGTGGTCAACATTCACGAAGCCGAAGCAGAAGTGGCGATCCGCTGGTGACTTCTTTGGATGCAGGGTTCAAGTCTGCAGCCAATAGGGGTGCTTGTTGTGAGGATGTGGTCACATTAGGCCGCTTGTTGTGAGGGTTTGGTCACATGAGGCCAAATGTAAATGCTGCCCATTAGGGATGATAACAACACCTTTGGGTCATTCCTATACTGGTATTGGTAATGGGGATGTAGTGGTNNATAATCGTCTAATGGGTTGACTGGTGGTATTATTACCCAAAACGGGCAAGGGTTCTGCTAACTCTTTAGGGGGTCTAGGGTGGTTTAAGTGGGCCTCAGACGTATAGGGGCACAGGGATTTTTGTTGCGTGGGGATTGGTGGCTTGGGGTGGCCGGCAGGCCGAAAAACAGCAATCGCAACTGCCAAGCAGCAGTGAGAAAGTGTCTGAATTACTCTTGGTACCTGGGCTTCACACCTTCTGCCGCAAAATACACGGGGACAGCAATACAAGTGTGTGCAAGCTGCTACCCCGAGGCCACGCAGTGTTTCGGATACTAAGGCTCAGAGAATTTAGGCAGGGCCAAGTAAGTAAGCCTCGAGGCCAACCCTTCAACTATTGCGAGTATTTGCTGTGGCGACGGCTCAGAGCATGAGGGATCCGAGGGCAGGCTCGGCTGAGATATGGCGAATAATATTATTATAGTATTATGAAATAGTATTAGAATTAATAACATGAAAGTAACATTAATCATCATACTAGTATGGCTGATTGCAGACAAGCAGCTATCCACTGAGGAAGGTCGCTGCTCACCAGCTGGAGAGTCAGTGCCCAAACGCATGCCAGCCAGTGGCACACCAGAATGAGCATCAACAAGAACTTAAATAATGTCACCTGCTGGTATGGAATGGAGTAGGGGATCCTCAGTCCAGAAATCGTCACCTAGCTTGCCCGCCTCTGTTTAAATACCCATAAATAAAGCTGAACTACGGTGTGACCTACAACACCCTGTGTCCGTGTCCCTCCTTCTACGAACACACGCAAAATCATGCCAAGATCTCCCGAGTCAAGCAGCTCGTACTTCTGAGTGAACTTTGACGTCTTCAACACACGAAACAACTTCACGAGCCTGCAGGGAACTTTGCAAAAGCAAACAAGAAGAAGACCCCCTTCGAGCAGCACGTTCATCACCCTCTCGCAACCGGAAGCCCTCAACCCCCAACCCCTAAACCATAACAAAAATCGTTCCAGGGCAACCTGTGTCCCTGTGTCCTACACCCTTTTGGAATCCGGCCTCAAGACTCGTATGGCTTTCACGCCATTCAGCTCTTTCACGTCGTCGACGCCGGAAGTCAGCGCTGAAAGTGGTGTTGGGGGCACAAATGGGGTTGAGGGTTTCGACTCTCATGCTCGCACAAGGCCGGCAAGGCTTCATGGGGTTTAGGGTTCAGGGTATACCAAGTTCAGCAACCCAAGTCTTTTTAGCCCAAGTGATCCCAACACCCAGTGCAAGGCAACGGGGCGAGGGGTGTAGAGCTGAGAGTTCCGGGGCCTGTTTCGGGCTGTACCGAGACAAGCCTTCTAATTGATGACGTGCTCTCCAGTAACTACTCTTTCGAAGTTCATTTTGGCACAATCCAGCCCGAACCAGCGGCGTTACTTAAACGAACTCGCCCGAACTGCACTCCGGCCTGGCCTATTATGTCAAAAGGGATCAGGGTCACGAAGTCCAGTATAAACCAAGTCTTCAAGTAGTGAATCGTGATTCGCGGCAGTCGCACTTCCCACTCCACTTCGCGTCCTCTCCGTCTTGGGTAGGATGTGAAAAATTGCAGAACCATGTCGATGACATAGACCAGGTCAACAGCAAGGCTGAGAACGGTAAGCAACCCAAACTCCACTTTGAGCAATCCGACCTGCGCTTGCCGTAATCACTTTGTTTCGAACAAGGCAGACACACAGCAGAACATCTGACTAGTTTCCTTCATGCGATGTGGTTCTTGGGTCGCTCATCAAGCAAAGGAGTTGTAGTGCGCTGGATCTTTAGTAAAGAACATAGGGTTAGTTGTTTACACAAACACTGTTCTTTTGACCAGTCTGTGTTGGTTTCAGCAAGCCGGCCTGCACGGGCGTGACCAGCCCGACGAAGGCTAAAGCAAACATGGTTAGCAGCTGCCACGTGTTTGCGAGGCCACTGCTGTCCGGATTGATGATGTACCAGGGCTTCAATGCCTGCAGGGTAACTGCTTTCGGTGACGATCCAGCAGAGATGATGATGAAACCTGATTATACCCTCGTAGGTCAGATGTTGTTACGTTCTTCCAACTTCCAACTGAAAAGCGCCGCTCACCAGCAAAACATGACACAGACTTCGCATATTTCTCAGCTGAATAGACATGACAACCGGACGTAAAATCCTCAGATCATGCTGGTGTGCCGCCCAAAAGTGCCGCAGGACCCCTGAACCCGAATGATTCGACCACAGGAAATCTGAGTTCACGGAGGTTCACTGCAGCTGAAGGACCACGAAGTTCTTGGTCTTCTGCGCTCGCATGATCATGAACTGCATCCGCTCTTCCTCAGCACGGGAATCGAGATTCCACAAGCCCCACTGATGCTCGCAGATGGGAGGCTTCGTGTAGAGCTCAAGCTTCAGACTGGAACAGCTCCGCCAAGCGAGTATGACCAAAACAGTGAGCTGCAGTCAGCCTTCGCATATGCGCAAGTAACCCTGAATCCCTATAAAGCTTCCAAGCTGAGCCGCCTTGATGAGAGCGGACGCGCGAGAGCCGGTACCCAAGTCCTCTTTGCGATGCTTCGTTGAATCGGAGACGATTCGGGCTTGGGGTGTGGGGGTTTCAGGGCTTATAGGGTTTTAAGGCGTTGAGGAACTGAGGAAATTGGGTCCCAAAGTGCGCACAAAACCCCAAGGAAGCCCTCGTAGACACTAAGGGCTCCAGACTCAGAAGCCTTCGGCCTATAACCCTAGAAATTTTCAACATTTGCTTGGCATCCCAAAGCTCTATAAAACACTATACGATATGGGACTTTCCGAAAATTAGGGGGGGTACCTTACTTTGGGGGGGTCCTTATAATAAGGATCCTACTCTTGAGGGTATTTTTATGAGGGTCCCCGAATTTTCGGAAACCCCTACACAGAACCTTCAGCCACTCGAGCCTGGAGCTGCCAAGCCTTTGGCATTTCTTTAGGGGCTTGGGGATTTTAGGGATTTTTAAGGATTTTAGGGATTTCGGGTTTTGAGGGGGTTTTAAGGATTTTAGGGATTTAGGCAGTTTCGACATGGCGGTCGGTGGTCCGAGCTTTAGGGATTTTCAGCACTCACACTCGGACTTGCCTAGGCTTTAGGGATTTTAGGGATTTAGGGTTTAGGAGGGCTCTGTCAGTATCGACCATGGCAGGTCCACTCCCTGAGCTCTTGAGAAAAGTGTACGCCACATGCCCTCTCAGTGCCTACAACTCGAAATCCTGAAATTGCTGTGTCGCAGTCTCTTGCCCGGCACGTTTAGAGGAAGCACCGTTTTGATGCAAGTAGTTGAAGGAAGCAAGGCGGCACGACAAATCCTGAAACCAGCAAAACGTGTGTATATATATGTATACATACATACATACATACATACATACATACATATGTATATACACTATTCAGACCATTTTTTTTTGGGCGGGGGGTTGTAATCATAACGAAGACCGCCAGCAACCCTAAACCGACCTCGGTCACCGCGGAGAACGTCGGCATCGTTTCCGCTGCGTCGCTCCGCAAGCTACTCGTTGGTTTCAGCACATCCACCTGTGGACCGGTTCCGGGTTTAGGGTTTAGGGTTTAGGGTTTTTTTTCCCTCTCGCATGGCTAAGGATCAATGCCCACAAGCGAGGTAGGACTTGGTGCAAGACGACAACTGTACTACTGGATCTCTAGGGTTTAGGGTTTTAGGGT